AGGCTATAAAACAAAATACAGATAAACATGAAAGAAATTAAGTCTCCATCCCATTTAAGAAGGACAAAACTTTTTGAGAGAAGCTGAATAATGAGAATATTTTGCTTGTTACCAGGCAGGAGAAGCTCTAGGCTGGAACAGTCCCAGGATCAGTGTCACCCACCAGGATGAAGAGAAGATGAAGGAGCTGGGTGAGTTTGTGCTGTTTCTGGAGGATGCTGAGGGTTGTTTGACCTTCACAGCCTTCTGGTGGCCAATGAGGCTTTGGGGAGCTCTGGGGGCACCCAATGAATCCTCTTTGCTGTTGTCCTAAGAGGAACCAAGGTCTGGCTTTCAAACCATTGCGGCATGGCCTCAGGAAATGTGTTGAGATGAGAAACACCACCCTGGGCCTCCTCCCTTTGAGCAACCCTTTGGCCACAGCAGCTCACTCAAGGTCTCTGTTTCCATCTGTTTTCAGAGGTTATATATTTCCTTACAAGCATGAAAAATATATCATCATAGAAGTAAAATAATCATCAGCTGGAATGTTAAAATAAAACCCACCAAACCTATGTTAAATGGGAAATAAGTTCTTCTTTGGAAATTCAGGAAGAGGGTTAATGGGCTGTCATTAATTCTACATCATCACTGCTGTTGGGAGGGAAAATCTGAACAATTAAGAGCTTGGAAAAGATCTGCACTAGGGAATGGTAGGGGAAAAATGAGAGAGGAAAGGAGAAATCTAAGGGTTAAGAATAAAAAAGGAAAAAGTGGTTTGGGTTTTTTTCACATTTTTGCACCAAAACATTTTCATTACCAGGTTACCTGCATGGCACATAAGATATTTTATGCCACATCTATTTATGGAAATTATCACAGCCCATGCCCAGCAATTTTAGTTTTATTGTCTTTATTCTCTTGCCATGGGCAGAAGAGTTCTCTGAGCACAGCATCCTCCTTTCTCACCAAGGATTTTTCCAATGGCTCCCTGCTTTTTACAGACATTTCTACAAGTTCAGGTACCTGTTGCAAAGGGATCTTCACTTCCCTTTTATCCCTCTTTCCTCCTTGAATCCGGCCCCATTCCGTGGGAGGTGCCGTTCCCTGGAGCTGAGCTCATCCCTGGGCTCACCCTTCGTGCCCTGCAGGGATTTTTCTTAGATCTCTTTGTTTTCTTTCCCAGTCAAAGCAATTATTTCACCGAGGCTTCCAGCACAGCCTTGTCAGCAGTTTTCAGCCTGCCCTCAGGCTTCTTGTTTCTCTGGGCTGCTCCTTTGGGTGCTTTTCTTTCCTCATTTTTGCCTTTGTTTTTGTTTTTTTTTTTTTTTTTTGAGGTCAAATACATGTCGAACGTGCTTGGTCTCACAACGTGGTTACACATAATTGTGCTGTGGTCACTTTTACACAGCAGCTCCCACAAATAGCTTTGGAATTGGAATTTGCACTTAATCCAGGAAGGCAAATGTTCTTGTGCATGCCAGGACCAGCTGCTCTAAGAATCACCATTGTACTGCAAGAAAAATGTACATTTTTCAGGGGGAAAATCTAATGTCTGCACTGCCTGGCAGTCATCCACAATCACCTGTCAGATCTGCTCTGCTGCATCGCCTCAGGCAAGGGAAGGACCTGCAGAAAATGTGCCCAGGTCCCCAATCCTTTAGGGCAGGGCTGTTGCTGAAACCCTTCCCTGAGGTGTTGTGAGGTGTTTGCAGACAGATGTGCAGCCAAACATCTGGGCTGAAAAATGGCTCAGCACATGAGGAACAGCTGGCTCTGTGTGATGGCACCAAGCCCAGGTCTTGGGGTCCCTAGCACAAAAAAGACTTTGAGCTGCTGGGGAGAGTCCAGAGGAGGCCATGGAGATGCTTCAAGGGCTGGAGCCATTCCCAAGGACAGCTTCCAACATGTCAGATTCCTCCAAGCCCTGTCCAGCCTGGCCTTGGACACTGCCAGGGATCCAGGGGCAGCCACAGCTTCTCTGGGCACCCTGTGCCAGGGCCTCCCCACCCTCACAGGGAACAATTCCTTCCCAAATTCCCATCTATTCCTGCCCTCTGCCAGTGGGAAGCCATTCCCTGTCTCCCGTCCCTCCACGCTGTCCTGGTTTGAAAAGGAATTGAGTTTTTGGGATGCTGTGGTCAAACCAAAAAACTCACTTCCTTTTCAAACCAGGACACTTGCCTTGTCCCAAATCCTTCTCCAGTTCTCCCTTTAGACCCTGGAAGAGGCTCTGAGGTCTCCCTGAATCTTTCTCTTCTCCAGGATGTTGCTTTTTTGGAGACACAAGGAGTTTTTTAGCAAAAGAGGCTCCTGGGTGCTGCAATCCAGCAGAGAAAAGTGCAGTCAAACCGGTGGCTGGGAGGCAGCCAGAGCAACTGGGAGCTGGCAGAGGAGCTGGGGAGGGTGACTAGCTCTGGGAATATTTTCTGGAAGGCCTTCTGGCTTCCTCCTTCTCTGCCTGGCAAAACTCCGGGGTGATGATGGCACAGGATTTATTCCTGGCTTGGAACACAGGAGGAGAGACAGCTGAGACTCCTCAGGATGGGAATGATGGTGGTGGAGGGCAGGGGGGATGAGATGATGAGGTTCACATCTTCTGTGGGTGACAAGAAGGGTCACATTGTGCCTGCATGGACCCTGGCAGATTCCTCACTGCTGAATTTGCAAAAATGGTTCTTCCCCATCCCACTCTCAGGTCTGGAAGAGGCTTTGGTGCCCATTAGAGGCTGATTTGTGCTTTGCATGCTAAAAATTGGGTTTTCTAGGAATGGGCCACGTGGTATTTGCGGCTGTGGAGGACAGAGACAGCCAAGGCTGAGCTTCACTTGGCTCCAGAGCCCTCACTCATTACACTCCTGACTTTATTAAAATGTTTCGCTGGAGCTGGGCCCAGCTGCCCAACATCATTAATTAATGAAACACAAATAGGGGCAGGGCAGTGGGACAGGAAAATTGGGTTGTCCTTTGCACTCAAAGGGCCCCCAAACCAAATCAGATGGAGTTGAGGCTGCAAAGATGACAAATTCCTGGAAAAAAGCAGTGCTGGAGACCCACAGAGAGCCTGGGGATGCTCCCATGAGTAGGGAAACCAGGCAAGGACATTTCTGAGCAGTTTGGTGGCTACTGTTGCACAGCAGAGCCTGGACTTTAGTGACAGAAAAATCAATAAAATATAAAAACACAATAATAAATGAAAGTCCCAGAACACAGGTACATCCAACAGCCCAGCTGATGTACAAAGTTTCGGAAGCTTCCTGCAGAATACTGCAAAAACCACCAAAACCAGAGGTGATATTTTGCCTTAATCAAACCCCTTTTTGTGGCTTTTCCTGTAGCGACCTGCTGGGAGTTTATTTTCTATAAAGATATCAGGGCTGGAAGCTGCAGGGCTGGAAATTGGGATAAAAAGCAAATGCACACCAGAGGGCTCCTGCAAGCTCGGATGCTCGGGATCCCATTTCAGAGCGGTTTCATCTCTGTGGTGAGGCGGGAAAACAGCGGGATTAGTTCATGGCTCTGTGCACGCCAGGTCCCAGCTGCCACCTAGTGTCATCCCCGCGACACGGGGACATCGGGGACATCGCACAGGGGACATCGGGCTGGGCGTGACCGGTGCACAACAATTGGGGACACATCGGGGTGGGCTTGTGCCAGGGCACAATAGCACAGGGAGCAATGGGATGGGCTTGAGACGGTGCTGCTGAAGAACCCAGGGGACATCGGGACGGGTTTGTGACAGTGCACAAGAGCTCGGGGGATATCGGAATGGGCTTGTGCCACCGCACAACAATTTGGGGGGTACGGGATGGGCTTGTGGCAGTGCTCAGCAGCTGCAGGGGTCTCGGATGCTCGGTCTCTGTGTTCCCAAGCCCTCGGGGATGGCGCAAGCACCGTGATGTCACACTGCCCGGGGAGGGGACACTGGGGGAGGTGCC